GGCTGCTGAGCAGTTGTGGCAATTCTGTTCATTTATAACACTGCTTCTGTCTCATTTTTCCCTGGAAATGAAATCTCTAAAGCTTGTGCTAAAATAGTTCGTCCTGCTGAGGATCCCACTGGAGATTCTACTTATGCAGTATTTAATCAGATCAAGGATCCAATCAATGAAAGTCCAGCACTTGTCCTACACATTGGACCACCCAAGACCGGTACCTCAACAATACAGTGTGACCTTTCCCATTTTTGAGGGGAACTAGAGGCGGATGCGTCCGTTGGGTACTTAGGCCGTGTATATAGACATTGCATCAATCAAAGCATGAACTCAGGTCCAGTATTTGACACCCAGGAATTGATCAGTATGTGCTTTAAATCATCAATTGAATCATCGCTGTGCATGAATACATCAATTTGGAAGAATTTTGAAGCACAGCTGCATCACTACGCTAATCACAACAAAAGTCTCATTATCTTGGACGAGGTGCTGTTCTCAGAGGAGAAGTTCGCAAGCTTTATATTCAAAGCTGGTGGTGCTGGCGTTAGTGTGGATAATTGCCATATACTGTACAGGTTTCTAAACAAATATTATCCTGGCTGTGTACACGTTGTGGTCACGTATTGCAGATACTTTGAAGAATGGTTACTAAGCTTTTGGAACAAGAACAACAAACCTCACAAGAACTTTTACAATCAGACTGTGGCTAGTCCTTACCCAGAAGAATTGCAAAAGTGGCCTTCAGAAGGTGGAAGAGAATGCAAACATTTTTAGAGCCGGTAGTACTCAGCAAACTCAAATTTTCAGAATACCAAAAACTGCATATCCACATCACGGAATATCTATGGAGATCGTGGAAAAACCATTCAAGCAAACTACTGATGCTCAGCATGCATGAAACAGAACACAACCACAATGGGGAAGATATTACAACCCTTTTTCTTTTAGATACTAGTTTGTCGCCTGAGGCAGGAGATGTGCTGCGTATGGCAAAAGCGAATGCTAGCCATGCTGGTCAGCCCAATCGCTCAAGAAATATCGACTATGACAGGCTTGCAGTCAAGGCCCACAAGTGCAAATTGCTTGTGAATCAAAGCTCTACTCTTTGCTTGGAAATTGCTGAGAAGAATTTGCTTCAAAAACTGAACAAGACCAAAGACAGTCTACCATTTGTGTGCCTTAATCAAACCCATCTCGAAAGCCTGTTTCAGAAATCGCTACGATACGAACGTGAAATCTATCCTGACCTGTCAGAAGAAGCTACAAAGCGCCACCAGGCGGCCTTTTTGAAAGCAGTCGAGAGAAAGAAATTCTGTAACTTTGACACTGACAAACTAATCGAGGACAGTGCAGTGCAAACGTTCTTCACAAAAGATATTCCACAATTGCTAGATCTTCATTAATGTTGAACTGGGAATCGCCTCGCGCGTACGATAAGACTGAAAGGGATCATTATAATCATTTAAGGCAAATAGCATATCAAGCAACCCTGAGAACCCATTTAGAGAAACACAGCTTCGAAAAAATCTTGGCAAGTCTCCCAGTGTTCACTGTATAATTGCTGTCATTCGTCTCTCCTTCAAAGAATATTGGAAACCTTTGCAGTACCAGTATACAGGCAAATAAGCCAATCTCAGCCTTTCCTCTGCATTAACTTGACAAAGAATGGCTTGGTACTTGGATAGTTTCATCACTCACCCCTAAAACATCATTGAAAATTGGACCGCTCTGAACAGTTCCGCGCTTTTCGATCTCTCGGAAAATATGTACGAACGTATCTGGCCGTGCCGCGCCATCGACCATTGTTGTTCCTTCAATAATGAATTTTGGGATTCCGTGAATTCCAAGCTGCTGCAATGCATGGGTGGCGTATGAAATCTCTTTCTTTCCTTCGTCTCCGTTCAAAAACTCCAGAAGCTCGTCCTCAATGGGAGCATTATCCAGTATCAATTCTCTCAGTACCTTGTGAACAACTTGGGCTAACCTAGGCCTGTCGTTCAATGAGTGGCCATCAACAAAATAGTACACATTGAGTTTGTCGTAGACAGCCTCACTCGTTGCCAATCCATACTTCTTTCCAATGTGTTGTATCAGCCGATGAGATGCCATCGTACTCGACGCCTTTCTATCCAGATTGAAATACGGGATCCCCGCCTCTAATCCTCTTCCCTTCAGATCGTGGCTACGCTTTTGGTTGTCCCAACCAGCTTTCCCGCCCCATTTTTTTACCAACCGTTCCCGATTGGTCTCAACGAATACTTTGTCTTCGTCGTAGCCGGGTTCCAAAAAGAATGGAATCCGTAAAATAGAGAATGCCAGCGGCTTTGGCGCATCGGGAATAGGATTTTGTAGCACTTCGTTGATTGCGCTATTCAGGTGTTTCTTCCCGATATAACCATTGGGTCACATTGTATCTGAGACCAGTTCGATGCTAACGACGAGAGGCGATACTTCTTCCGAAGAAGACGAAAACAACCGACTCGTAAATTGACCCGACGGCACACATAACTTTGTGCGAAGTGATCGCATTGGCGTCCCGATCAACCTACCAGTGGCAAGTTTTGAAAACATTTTCTAAATTTTCAGCTCTTTTCTGCTCTTGCTAAACTCTTTGGAGACAGATTGAAGAACTTCTGTGATGAGACTGAGTTCTTTGTGACTTTGCAGTCTGCAATACGAAAATATATTCTTCAGCACCGAACCCACACCGTACAAGTGAACTCCTACAGGGAGTGTATTCGTACTGTAAATGAATAAGATCGAGGCAAGAACGGATGCGCCAAGGGCGGATGGATCCCCTAACAGTAGAGGCAACGGAGGCGCCAAGGGCAAGAGGGTCAATATATGGAGGCAGCAGCAACTCGAAGGCGCTAGTCCCCTATCAGTGACGGCAACGGAGACGCGAGACGGTGCGGATCCTCTATCAGTGGAGGCAATGGAGATGCGAGTCGATGGATCCCCTGGTGAGTCACTGGCTGTGCAGGGACTTGAAGACGATAGTGATGGTCAAAAAGGCGAGAAGAATGGTGAATGGAAATGGCGAGAAGAATAAAGCACGAGGTGCAGTGAAATTAAGAATGAAATTAACACGTGAAAACAAGACGGGTTATGGCTACGTAATGTTCGTAGGCGTACGTACTTCTACCTTTTATTCCTCTGCCCGCGCGCTGCGCTAGTAATGATTTGAGGTACTGTACCATGTACTGTACCATACAGTACCATACATTAGATCGTAGAGATCAATTTTCAACTAGTCATACAGTTTTGAGTCATTAATTAAGTAGTAGTAGTAGTAATTTCAATATATTTGACTACTCTGACTAACCTACACGAATGCTCGCAACGGATAGCGTTCATGTCTTTGACTTCTCGTTTACTCGTACGGGACGAACAACACCATTAGTGACCCCGGCACAGACAACAATAATAGCATTGCGAAGGCATCGAAGATTCGAACCATCGTCACTCATAGGACCTGGAAAAGAGTGCTGGTACTCAGTATATGCTGCATTCGACACGATAGGAAGATTACTGTTCGCTTGAGACAGCAAAGCAAAATTGGCGGCGAAACGAACTAAAGACTAGCCACCGCAACCGAACGATACCATGGCCCAGCAACTGCCACCACCCCAGATGAATTCCGGGATTTCGGGCCCCGCGTGGGCCAATCCGCACGGGATTCCCCAGCACCAAACATCGAAATCGACGGCAACAGGGCCAATCGGGGTAGATCAGCACGAAAGTGAATTCTTTGCGCCCCTCTCGACATTGGACGAACCCATCCGGGAAACGATCATGAGGGATGTTCGTTCGGTGGCAAGGAAGCTGAAGGTCGTTCTCTTGCCGATGGAGCGCTCGGTACGTGAAGCTCTGTGGTTCGAAAGCAACTCCCGCGCTTTTGAACGGATGTGCTGTAATGCTTGCGTCGGATAAGGTTGCCAAAGTCCGCTGTCAACTAACGCCGTTTTTTATTCTTGTTTGTTGTCCTTTGTCGTTGTCGTTGTCGTTGACCGTGCTTGTGTGGACTCTTTATCGGAAAATTGTCGTCAATTTGTTTCATTTCGTCCCATTGCTTTGGTGGTCTATCAAATTACCAGCTTCCCTATGGTGGCTATTCGGGAGTCTCTCAATCCGAAAGCATCGACCTGACCGAACGGGACAAACTCATTATTGAAAGTCTCCGAGACTGGGACTTGTGGGGTCCACTTGTGGTGTGTTTGACACTGGCCGTCCTATTGTCCATTAAGGCTCCGGTGGGACAAGCCAGTTTGGTGTTTGCCGCTGTCTTTTGCGCCGTGTGGTTTGGATCCGCGGTGGTCACGATCAACGCGCAGCTCCTGGGCGGGACAATTTCTTTTTTCCAATCAGTGTGTGTCCTGGGGTATTGCGTCTTTCCGATGACCTTGGCGGCGGGGGTTGTTGATCTCTTCAAAATGCTTCCCCTGGGAGCCTTTTCGACCCTGGTTGAAATTGCCGTCCTGCTGGTGGCCTTTGTGTGGGCGACCAGAGCGTCCGCTGTCTTTATTGGGCAATATATCATTCCATCCAGACGGATTTTGGCGGTGTTTCCCGTCTTGTTCTTTTATACATTTTTGGCGTGGCTGATTTTCTTGTTTTAAGTGGACAAGAGAGAACGGAAATCCAATGCAGCTGGTATCGTCGCTGGCAAAAATCTTGTGAACTACACAGCATCCAAGCTATGTGTAGAGGACTCTTCCTCCGTTCGTGCTCGATTTTGCTACATCAAATATAATTTATCATCGTCAGGAACAACATCATATTGCAGTGACGAAACAAATAATTTTCGGTAACATTCAGAATTTACTTTGATCAAATGCAGTGTAATACATATATCCATGAACATTGGAATTGGAATTCATATTGACGATAACGATGACTATTAAAATGCTATATGGATACATCGATGTAGACAAGAAGTACCAATGGTTCAGGTGTATTACATCTTCTGCCACAAGTAGTAGTTGAATACAAACTTCAATTCTATTTCTGGGTTAGCTTCTTGTTGTTGGAAAGTCATGAATCTCTGTTTATTACAAAAAACACTAGCATTCTATAGTATGTGAAATTATGTGATCTGACCAACATTGACTAGCACTTTGGTGTCATCATCGTCATTCCCATCGTCATTATCAACATGATTTTCAACATCACCATCAACAACATCAAAATCATCATCATCATTAGTAGTATTACCATCATTATTGTCATTATCATTACTAGTATTGTCATCATTGTCATCATCACCACCATTGTCATCAGGCATTTTCATCATCATTTTCATCATGACTGTCTTCATTGTTGTCTTCATTGTTGTCTTCATTGTTGTCTTCATTGTTGTCTTTATTGTTGTCATCATTATTGTCTTCATTGTTGTCATTGTTGTTTTCATCATTGTCTTTGTCATTGTTTAATCATACAGCAAGCATGTACTAGTGCCTTGTCCTACTACTATTATGATGCCAAAACAAAGAATGAAGAAGAAGTTGTGTTCTTCCAGCAGACAATGACACCAAAAAGACAAAGAAAGAAATTGAAGATCACACTACTGCTACTAGTAGTAGTAGAATAAAATACTTTTCTAGTACCCACTAGTAGTAGTAGTAGTAGTAGTAGTAGTAGTAGTAGTAGTAGTAGTAGTAGTAGTAGTAGTAGTAGTAGTAGTACTACTACTACTACTACTACTACTACTACTACTACTACTACTACTACTACTACTACTACTACTACTACTACTGCCTACTAGAAGTAGAACGAGGACTAGGACTACTACTAGGACTACTACTAGTAGGACTAGGACTAGGACTAGTAGGACTA